GCAGTATAAAACATACTAATTGACATCAGAGAATCCTAGAATATGCTGAGTTGGAAGGGACCCACAAGGATCATCAAGCTCAACTCCTGGCCCTGTGCAGGACACCCCAAGAATCACACCATGCGCCTGAGAGCATTGTCCAAATGCTTCTTGAACTCAGACAGGCTTGGTGCTGTGACCGCTTCCCTGAGGAGCCTGTGCCAGTGTCCAACCACCCTCTGGATGAAAAACTTTTTCCTGATATCCAACCTAAACCTCCCTGACTCAGCTTCCTGCCATTTCCTTGAGTCCTGTCACTGGTTTCAAGAGTAAAGAGATCAGTACCTACCCCTCCATTTCCACTCATGAGGATGTTGAAGATAGCAATGAATCTCCCCTCAGTCTCCTCTTCTCTAAGCTGAAAAATCCAAGTGACAGTAATAAATTTAGGAGCAAAATGCAATGCAAGACACAGTGAAACATTTTAAATGTTGATACTGATTTACCAGCTCTATAAGCGTGACTCATGAACAGCAGAATTGTTCACCATCAGCATTATTTTCACCTAGTTGTAGTACTTATATTAAATTAAGAAATATAGGTTTTGCATGTCCCATTTTATTATAAAATTCAATGTGACCTTTACAATTAGCAGCATAATCAGTCTATTTGAACATAGCAAGGATGAAGCAATATGCAACCTTATAATGTGAGAGCTTATGGGATGAAAACTTAGTCAAGTTAAGGAGTTTATATCACTTTGTGCAGAGACTAGTCTAAGTTCTGACATAAAGTAATTTGATACAGTGGTTTATAACTATTACAAACTTTATGTTATTAAGATAGAAATTATTGAAAGTGAAATTTATTGAGGATTGCAATGAAATATTGATAACTATGCTAATGGATGATTTAAAATTCTTCTGAAAAAAACCAGATGTCTGAGAAATGTGTTAATTTTTCCAACACAATTATTTTTTATAAGTATCTGTTTATTTGTTTTCCAGGAGAGAGACTGGGATTGTAATTGAGAAATAATGCTAGCAAGAATACTATGAGAAAGGCTCTTTCTTCCTATTCATAAAGGATGTTACTGTTGTTGAATGATTTTGCTCTAGTAATTCAATAAGTTTTAATAACTTAAGTGTGATTGTCTAGTAAAAAACCCCCACAACAATGTAATATTAAGAAATGTTAATCTAATGTTACTCTAATCTGAATATCAACAATGTTACTGATGTTTTAACAAATCATAAAATGGTATAGACATTATCTCAACGGCATCAAAACTAAAGAACATTAAACTAGCCTTAAACAATTTAAGTCGTTCATATTAGTGAGTCTTGTTTTGTCACCTTTTCATGAAAACATTATGCATGTTGTTAAATTTTAAATGTACTGGACTCTGGTATTACTTGTAAAGTTTACATTAAACCTTCAGATACTATTGGGAAAAGCATAAAATCTCACATGCTAATAGAATGTTATGTAGTAGGCAAAAACTAGATTCCAATTATTTGCCTATACTGAAATATATAGAGAGAAGAGTAGAAAGTAATTGCAAAAACTTTTGAAAATTGAAGGAGACACTGCTTCCCTCCTGATTAGAAACAGCCAAAATAATTTAAGTCAGACAGCAATAGCTATAAGTTAATTGAAGAACCCATGCTAAATATGGTCTAACTATTGACAAAAATTTCTCAAACTGTAGGGAACAAAAATAAAATAGAAATTAATGAACAAGGAAAGAAGAGACCATGGGCTATTCATGGACAAACAAAATTATAGATCTAAATTAACAAATAATTTAGAGTTCTTTTCTTACTCTTGATATTCCTGAACTCAGAAATTTCGTGAACTTCTCAGTTGATTCTGTGATAAATTTGCGTAAGTGACAAATTTGAGTAAGTGTAGAAAATTGATTGGCTTATCACAGTTCGTTTAGGAGAAGTAGTTTTTCAGTTATTTTTATTTATAAATATATGCTTTAAACAAGTTAATAAATCCTGTATATCTACAGGATGTGGGGAAATTAAAAGAAAGTTCAGTTTTCTTAATTGGCTTGGGAAAAACAATACCCCTGGGGGGGGAACACAACAAAAACAAACAAACAAACAAAAATTCAAATAACCAAACCAACCAAACAAAAAAACTCACAAAGCCACCAACAACAAAATCAAACCACAAACAAAGAAACCCCCCATACAGTCAAGCTGAAAAAACTTAGTCCAAGGAAGCTGCATTATCAAGATGCCTACAGGGCACATATGCTAGTTTTAAGCAGATAGTACTCAAATGTGTCTAGCATAATGTATGATAAAATTTTCTGACTCAGACTCTTATATTCAACTCAAAAGAATTTCTTATTGGACATTACCTTGACAAATGAAAATTGTTTCACTTCTCTATTAAAAGCTATGTGTGACTGACTACAACTGGACTACATTCATATATGCAAAGAGAATAACAAAATACTGTGCTGGTATTCCAAAAGGAAAAGTTTTACAGAAGTGGAGGTAAATAGGATCAGAGACAAAATGTAAATAGAATGTCAGTGCCAGACAGGAATTAATTAAACTACTTCTCCACCATAATGTTTACACACATATTAGCCAGCAGAACACATGGTCTGTATCTCCCTCATTACTAACCGTCCAAACAGCACATATCCACACTCAGATTCATGAAATATCTTAAGTGTTGGGGGTTGAGCCCAAACTAGCTACCTGACTCTTCAAGACAGAAAAAGTCTTCTTAGATAGGATTTCTCTGACCAATATCTGCACCATGTTCATCAATGTCATAGCTCGAAGAGCTGCTCAGTGTAGGTTATAACAATAATCCCCTAAAAGAAATAGGCCTTTACAATGTCTTTCATCTCATCTTAAAAATATACATTAGCTGGTGAGGGGTCTATGTTTAGCTCAGAGAAAAGGAGGCTCAGGGGAGACCTTATGGCTCTCTCAAACTACCTGAAAAGGAGCTTGTAGTGAGGTGGGTGTCACTCTCTTTTCCCAAATTGCAAATTATAGAGTAAGGGGAAGCAGCCTCAGCTTGCGCCAGGAGAGGTTTAGATTGGATATTAGGAAAAAATTCTTCATGAAAAGTATTGTCCAGAATTGGAAAGGGCTGCCCAGGAAAATGGTTGAGTCACCATCCGTGGAGGTATTTAAAAGTCATGTAGATGTGGCACTTGGGTACACGGTTTAGTGGTGGACTTGGTAGTATTAGGTTAGCAGTAGAATGCAATGATTTTAAAGATCTTTTCCAACCTAAATGATTTTATGATTCTGCGATCTGAAATAGTTAACAGAAACATGCAATAGTTATTTATCCTCTGACTGTGAAGGTAGTTGCAGGTAATTAATTTACATGTAGATAGTTATGTTTGACATTCCTAAAATTAAGCAGAATGAATTCTACTCTTCAGGGCAGTAATTCATCTCATCCAAAATAGTTGCCTGAGAAAGGTGAAATAACTCTCTGAAGACACCTCTTTCTCTCCAGGTCCCTAGAATAAGGTAATGAGTTGAGAGATAGCATATTTTTTTGAGAGATGGCTTCTATGTGTCAATGTCTGTACAACCGTATAGTTTTATATATTTACCTTGTGGCTGCACATGAGGCTACTGGCACAGCTTCACAGTACTTATAAACCATTGCAGAAGTAGATAGTCTGAAAGTAAGTTTAAATAGTAAGAAGATTCAGGTAAAGAAAAAAGAACTAAGAATTTTGAATAATACTGTGAGGAATAAAGCTATGTTTTGCTGAAGCCAGAATGACTGGGTGGGGAGGGGCTAACCATTGTTTCTTCCTTATAGCTGCTTATTGTTTAAATGTGGTTCAGACTGTTCCTTGCAGAGTTGTTAAGAACCAATAGGAAAGGCTATGCTAAAGAATTGCCAAAAAAGGCAGAAGATGAAGGTGGGGAGACCTGGGGCAAAGTAGGTAGTCAGGAAGGAATGTGAGTCCTGGAGTACCCAGCCAACGGGAAAGGTGACAGGGACCACCCCCAGCCAGGGCAGGAGATAAAAGGTTGTCCATTTTGGTGTGTGGGTGTGCCTCCCTGGAGAGAGACACCTGAGTCAGCTGACTTGCTTAATAAAGTAGTTTTGCTTTGATAACTCTGTCCCCTCTCAAATTTATAAAGAAGTGAGTATGTCTCACAATAAAAGAAGGAATAAGTAAGACTACTTCCTGTCTATTGGTTGATCAGAATTACAGTGGTCTAAAACTGGAAGAAGAAATCTCTGAAGGTTAGAAAGGGTTTAGAGGAAGCGGATTCTTTAGAAATTAATTCACAATGTTCTGGAGAGGGATTATAGCTAAAGAGTATTCAGTTCCATGATCGTAAGTCTCAGCTATGGTTTTCTAGTTACTGGAGTGGTTTTCTATGAGTCACTGGAAATACAGAAATTAATCTGAACTTCATTGCATGTGTGAGCAGAGGTGACCTTATGAATTTTCTCTGAAGTACTTTCCTGTACTTCCTGATTTTTTTAACTGACATTACAGCCTCATCTCAGAAAGCACTGAGGAAGCTAAAACCAAAATATTTTAAGTAGGCAACATGTTAGAAATTTGATATGACAACAAGCCAGGAGGACTGTGCGGCTCTGTTAGACACCAGATCAGTTATTATTGGGTCAGAACCACCTTGTGGGGGTATGTATGTGTGTGTGTGTGTGTGGGAAGGGCTAGGCCTTCAGACACATCATCTGCCGGCCCATGGCAGGAAGGCACATGTAAGGCCTGCAGCCAACATGGCCACATCCATGCAGAGCAGATGGCAGGGAAAGCCATGTGGCTGGGCTGTCAATAAGGTCCACCTGGTGGCCTGCCCACACCGCACCCCCTGGAGCCTCTGATTGGCTGTGGCACTCCTCATTTTGGCTAGGGGGACAGGGAGTGGCAGTGAGTCAAAGGTCTCGCCTAGAGGGAGTGGCCACAATAGCCAAAATCTATAAATAGACATGCACAAGACATGCATCTTCCCTTGGTAGCTGCCCTCTTGATTTCTCAATGTGTGACCCCCAGAGTGGTAAATATATCTCTCTTTCTCTCTTTATTCTTTCTTCTCTTGATCTCTCTTTCCTTCCTCTTGTAGGCAAGTTAAACATTATTGTCTGTATTTCACTTAAGTTGTGTGGAGTTTGTGTTTGCTGGGTGTAACAAAGGTTTCCTGCTCACTAGCAATGCTTGTTAGTCCTGGTAGTCTGTTGTAATGCTTTTGGGAAGTTGCATGTTATTTCTGTAAAACCTTTTTTGCCAAAATGCCTATTTTTTCACCTAATTAAAAGAAATCTCTTAAAGAGATTTCATCTCCGAATGTGAACTCAAGGTATCAAAGACTTTGTAAGGGGTCATGTGGGCAAAATCTCTTGAAGTCTAAAATTAAAGTGTAAATGGGTAAAAGTGTGGAGCTTCTGGACTGGAATGTAACAGGCCCATATAAGCTGCTTCAGAAAGTAATATTGGCAGAACTTTGGATAAAACATTTGTGATAGTCAAACCCTAAACTATTAACAAGGCACAAGACATGATCACTAAGAAAACAAATTATGAGAGAATTTTGACTTGAATATGGCTATGTTACGACAGAACTTAAAATAGCTCTTGAAAAGCTATGCAGTGGCAGCATTGTCAGCGTGGAAAGTGGTCTGAAAGTAAGGTAAGTTTCACTTGTTTAAGCTACATATGTGTTCATCTGAGGTTACACTCAGAGGCAGTAGAAAGCAATGGACATTCTCACAGCATGAGTCATCTATTCTATTTTAAATGTTTACTTTAGGATGAGATGAATCAGCACATTAATAATGAATACTTGTTCAAATTAATCTTTGACAGAGTGTCTGTGGAAAGAAGAGTATAGAAACATTCTCTTAAGAGTTCATAAGATACTTAAAAAAACCCCAAATAATAATTTTCCACTGTAGTAGGTGTCTGGGATATCTCCACAATAAAATAACAACTGCAAAAGCAATCCTGGTGCTGATATTTTTCTATTTGTATAAGAAACTCATATAACAATGGCATTAATATTGCAGAAAAAGCAAAAATAGATTCATTACTCTCCTTGTAGAAAAAGTCATCAGATTCTGATTATTATGAAATACCTCCCACAGTAACTTTGGGGCTTGCTAAGCAGCCACTACTAAAACTAGGTATTTTAAAATTTGTCTTGCATTCAATAATTTTAAAAGACCTGGCTGGAGATCTCCCTAGACAATTGCCATTGATTTTTCAATAAGTCTTGGAACTCTAGGGATGCTCCAGAGGAGTAGAAGAAATTTAATGGGTCAATACTTCAAAAAGACAAACAGGATGAACTAAATAATTATTTGTCCATAAACTAGGTTTTATCCCAAGAATACACTGGAACATTTCATCAGGACTCAGAGACTGAAGGATTCAAAACAGGCAACATAGAAAATGTAAATCTATAATGATTCATTGAATATTCATTTAATTTCCTCACAGAAAGGGCTCATAATATTTTTATGATTATTTATTTTTTATATATATTTTGATGTAAATTTTTTCCTGTGTATTTAATAGGTTTGGACTTGGGATTTTTTTTATTTTGTTTTGAATTAGTTTTTGATAGGGCATAAAAAAACCTTTACCTTTCCAAAAGTGTCACCTCATTCAACGAGTTTTACAGTCACTTTCCTACAATGGGCTCCCATTTTCACAAAAAGCTTTAGTGGTATCTTTGTAATCACCTTATATTCATAATTCATCTTCATACTATACTTGAATGACTAGATCTACACAAAAGTGGAGGTGTGCATAATACAAATAGTAGGCACAGGAAAGCTATGAATTACCTTTTATATCAACTTATACATAAACCTTTTTATGTCAATTATTGCTCAACCTTTCAAGGTCATCCAAATCTTTCTATATGCTATTTTAATCTTCTGTATTAATAGCATCTCACATCACCATGTAATTAGAGTATATCATTAAGGAGGTCTTTCTTTGACCCAATCACTAATATCAGTCACCTTAAAATGATCAAAGACAAATTTTCAAGGAACTCTATAAACTAATTCCATTGTCTCATAGTCCTCTTCTAGAAGAATTTTCTTGTCATCTCTTATTTAATGACCTACACAATTTACAGTTCTATGGCTCATTTTCTTCAGCTTCAATAGTAATTTCCTGTGTGGTGCTAAACTAAAATGTTTTACTAAAATCTGTATAGATTAGATATATCACAATTCTCCAGACTAAAAAAAAAACAACTATCTGATTACTCTGGTAGAAACAACCTTTGAAAAACTGTTTAAATTCATTTCTCATGTCCCTATGTCTTTATTGCTTTTCTCTTTAAAATTGGCATTGTATGATATCTAGGTCTAGTTAAGAATTTTTACTCTTCTTCACATAAGTGCTACTTTTCCAGCGAACTGTTATCCACCAAAAACTGATATTTGTAATTAAAAACCTTTATCACCGGGTTGATGTCATCACGCAAAAGTTCATTTGATGTTCTGAGCGGGAAATGTGACTCATTAAACTGTTAGGTTAAAGTTCTGATTCCCCTAAGGGGTTTTTATTGTCTGGGGGAGGGGGGGGTTGTGTTTTTATTTTGTTTTGTTTAAATTTATTCTCATTACCTGCTTTGCTTTTGCTACGTTTTTACTGCAGCAAAAATATAACTTTTGTTTGTTCAGTTGGGGTTTTGTTGTTGCTTTGGGGGGAATTTTGTTGTTTTTTTTGTTTGTTTGTTTGTTTGGGGTTTTGAGTTTGTGTTTTTGTTTTTTGTGGTTTTTTTGTAATGAATTTTAATACTTCATTTAAATTTACTTTGTGAAATTTAGCTTGCTTTATGTTTTTTACAAATCACTAAGACAAGTTTTTTTGACAATCAGCAATTTTTCCACTGCTTGTGGAATTTCTGACTACCCTCAATTTACTCGTTATTTTTTTTAGTATGAGGTTTGCAGGTCTTTTCTACAAGCTACTTCAGTACAAGTGCTTATATACACCCTTTGCAAACAACACAAAATTTTTGACAAGAGTGAGTGATATAAATTTTGAACCTGCTATGCTTTCAGGTTCTGACTAAATTGCTTCAGTAAATGGTTTCGTTAGCTTTTCAGAGTATTCCTGTTTGATAGAAGCAACAAACAATAAATATGATTTTCTTTTTAATTTAACTTTACAGGAAAGAATGTCAAGTATAACAGGGCTTTCTGAAACATAAAGGTGCAATAAAGTTCCCATATTGGCATTACTTCCAGCGGTACTATTTCTGTAACTACTTAAAAGATACTTTGTTCAGAAAATTTGACAGAGCCTCCGCTTCACGTAACATTACAGGAAAAGCCAGAAGATACTTCCCAATTCTCAGTAACAAGATCTGTATTTAAAAAAAAAAAAAAAGTTTAAAATTGCAACAATATCAAGCTATGAAGACAGAAGAATCACCAGCGTCCCCGGTTCCTACATTTAAAAGCAACTTCCAGGTGAAATTCCTGGATTGTGCCATAAAAAGAAGATGAAAAACAAACAAAAATATTCTTTACCAGTAAGATTAAGGGAATACTACTCCTGAAGCCCCAAATTTGACAACTAATTTAATTCCATGAGTAAGGTTCACCACTCATATCCCCTTTCCTGACTTAATGACATGAAAGATGCACTTAATGTGAAATATACTGCAAAGAAATAGAGACAATATTTATCAGTCATGTTACCATTACCATTACTGATTCCTATTTTCAAATCAATTTCTTTGTTGAAGAAATTAAAACAGTACAAAATCAAAATGCATATTATGCTCTTAATGGGGAATCACCATCAAACAGTTCTGTTTTCAGAAACTTTCATGAACCAAATCCCCTTTTTAATCCTAAAGCATGTTAGCAATGACATGGAAAAAAAATACTTTTGCCTGAACTACTGGAATTCTTGGTAAACTGAATTATACAAAGGAGCTTGTCTTTTCTTAAAGATAAACATAAACATATAACCTAAAATAGGGTATATTTAAAAATATGGGCCTCTAATTCTTTAATTACTACTTTGCCATGAAAAACTTGGTGATCATGGTGATTAATTTGCTAGAGATAACACCCTGATTCAATGTTGTGGTCAAAATGGCTAAGCAAAGCTTAGATGAATCAATAAAAAAAAAAAATAGAAACATGGATTTTATATTACCTCTGTAGTTAATGTTGGTAATACTGCTTAATTTACAGCAATTCACCCTTAGTTACATTCCACTTTTCACATTACTGTAATGCAGTATTCATTTTCAGTGTTCACTGAAATAAAAAGAGCAGCTGAAATACTTTAATTATTAGAAGGGGTTCAATGTGGAATCATGACAAGAATTTTAATGTTGTGATGAACAATACATTTAATTTGTTAAGAGAAGGCTAGGAAGTGATTTGAATGCTGTATCAAATGCCTATGTGGTGAGAAGAACTGTTAGATTTCCGGGTAACAATGGAAATGTTTATGAATACAAGGATGATAATGTAGGTTTTAGATATAAAACATACTGAATATGTGTAACTGCTACGTGCGTCCTTTGACTCCATAGTACATGTACAGTTTATAACATTTCATTAAGTAAGTTTGGATCTTGACACCTGTAAAGTAATGCCAATATAATTTAATTTAATATGGTAATTGATTATCAGAATAATTTTCGCAGCCTAATAGAATTTTCCTATCTCTAATGAATTTTAAAACAAAAATCGTTAGGATATGTTGAGGTTGTGTTTAGAAACAACAGTCCAAAGTCCTCATCCAGAGTTACATTTGCTTCAGTAAGCAACTTTGATTGATAAGGAAGGAGATGGGCAAAATGGTCCTTCAGAACAGAATTATGTCAAGCACAGCTGATTGTTTACTTATGCATAAGTATGCAATCATAAGAAGCCATACAATCCTGATACCGTTCAGGAAAACTTGTAGATGAATTTCTGTGGATGAAACATAATCGTGGCATGGATCTGTTTGCAATACTACTGGGCTTTGGCAACACACTGATCTTGTATTATTGATGGTATTTGAATCTGA